CTTTCTTTACTTAATATCCTAATGATTTTTGGCATAAAAGAAAAATCAATAATTTTGACCCATACAATGTAGTTTTGGCTATTGCTACAAATATACCCCAGCTACTTAAGACTGGTTTTGTGCTCCAGGGTCACATATAAAAAAAAATTGGTACAGAATACAAGGAGATTTGTCAGAAGTAGGGGAAGAAAAGACTTTTTCAAAATATTTTGAGACAAAATTTTAATGGCAAATTTTTTGTTTTAATTTTTGTTGTGCGATTATTTTTAGCAGTAGTAGTAATAATAAATAATATGCATTTATCACAATGATCCTCATTACTGCAATTTAGCAGTTTTATTGCAATACAGTTAAAAATGTTAAATAATCTATTTTTAAAAAACAGATTAAATTAGAGGTACAGTATTACAACATAAAAATAACTTTTTTTTTTTTTTTTTTTACAATACAGTAAAATTCCAAAAAAGCTATGTCACAATGAAAAATAGAGGCCATTTTCATTCTAAATGTTTATGCATTTAAAAAAATTCTCTGTCATTAATTACTCACCCTCATGTCGTTCCAAACCCGTAAGACCTCCGTTCATCTTTGGAACACAAATAAAGATATTTTTATTTATTATTTTTATTTAAGATATTTTATTTTATTTTACTATTCATTTTTTTTTATTATTCAAACCAATTTAGCAGTTGATCACCAGTTTAACCAAAATTCTAAATCCTTAAAAAATGTAAAAAAAAATATACATAAACTATCATTCAAAAGTTTGGAGTCTGTAAGTTTTTAAAATGTTTTTTTTAAAGTCTCTTCTGCTTTCCAAGGCCGCCTTTATTTGATCAAAAATAAACTGTAATTTTGTGAAATAGTATTACAACTTAAATATAAGTTTGAATATATTTTAAAATGTAATTGATTCTTATGATGCAAAGCTGAATTTTCAGCATCATTAAAATAGAGGCCATTTTCATTCTAAATGTTTATGCATTTAAAAAAATTCATTCATTCATTCACTCAAATTCATTTTCAAAATACTCATTTGAAATATGGCCTGACCAGAATGTGTTTTTGTGATATTTATACAAATATACTATATAATATATATCAGATGTTCTTTTGAAAACATTTCGAATAATTTCCAAACTCATGTTTGTTTTCTTGCTTGTCCGTTGGTATTTGCTGTTATCCTTATGTTATATTTATGTATTCAATTGTTTATTTGTCTTCTTTTAGGCGGTGCCATATTCCAGAGAATTCAAGCAGAAGTATGATTACTTCAGAAAGAAGTTAAAGAAGCCGGTAAGAAATGAAGCGTTTTAAGAGACATTACAGTGAGCTCTTTCTTGTCACGAAATAAACTGTAATTTTGTGAAATAGTATTACAACTTAAATATAAGTTTGAATATATTTTAAAATGTAATTGATTCTTATGATGCAAAGCTGAATTTTCAGCATCATTACTCCAGTCTTCAGTGTCACATGATCCTTCAGACATCATTATAATATGATGATTTGGAGCTCAAGAAACATTTCTCAATTTAATCATTGTTAAAAAACAGTTGTGTATCCTTGCTGAATAAAAGTAGTAATTTCTTTTTTTTTAAATCTTTCGAACCCCAAACTTTTGAACAGTAGCATTTAAGACAAACAAAAATTTATATTATCAAATTACATTTCATTTTGCTTTATATGGTCTAGTCAGAAATGACTGTTTTATGCAATTGATAACAATAGTTTTTAACAATAAGACTTTTTAAAATATTTTGATGGTCTTTACGTCACTCTAAACATACTGTAATAGTGGGTAGAAAGCTACATTTTAATTAATTACATTTATGCATTTGGCAGACTTGTCACGTACTGTATTCCTAGACACTCTAATTTATTCCGTGTGAAATCCTTGTCGGGGAGTGAAGAGCGTTTTCTTTTTTTTTTTTTTCCATTGGGTGTTAAATTGTTCTTCACACGACAGAAACGCAGCCGTTTAGTGCTGTGATTGTTTCAAACCTTACTATTAAGTCTAGATGTTAGTGTGACACTCAAAGCTTGTAGCTAATCGTGATCTTCAGTTTATTATTCTGTGAATTTCTCAATTTAATCATTGTTAAAAAACAGTTGTGTATCCTTGCTGAATAAAAGTAATAATTTCTTTTTTTTAAAAATCTTTCTAACCCCAAACTTTTGAACAGTAGCATTTAAGACAAACAAAAATTTATATTATCAAATTACATTTCATTTTGCTTTATATGGTCTAGTCAGAAATGACTGTTTTATGCAATTGATAACAATAGTTTTTAACAATAAGACTTTTTAAAATATTTTGATGGTCTTTACGTCACTCTAAACATACTGTAATAGTGGGTAGAAAGCTACATTTTAATTAATTACATTTATGCATTTGGCAGATGCTTTTATTCAATTTTGGTGTTTGAAATTATTTTACGCTGCTTTACAATGTGACCAAAATGAGGTGCCTTGGAATGCAGCATAGTTTTGCTGTCTGTAATCCACCTGCCTTCTGTTTTACACATACAGTAATGCAGGCTCCATTCACAGATATGCTCTCAAGTTCCTATTTGTTGTTTTGTCTCAGTAACTTTATTCTGTGCTGTGTGATCAGTAACTATTTAGATGTTAAAGGTAACATAAGTTGTGAGATCATTTTTCTCATGCATCATTAAACTCGGACGTGTCCTCAGTGTCCGTCACAACACAGGTGTGTTCAAGCACTGCTGAGTCTGCTGCCGTGGTCGATATACACCTGTTCTGTTTGTCAGCTCCACACATTCACAAACGACCTCTAGTGGTGTGTACACTGATTTATGTAGAACCACCACATTGAAAGTTTGTTTACACATTGAAACTTAAGGTTTTCTGTAAATTTAATTTGTACCAAATAGCAATAAAAATGTGAGGCTTATAAAGGCTTGTAAAATTCCTCTTCTCCTCCTCAGACACCAAAAAAACTTTGATCCGTTTATTGCATCCCCCTTTTCATGAATGCAACTCTGTTATTTATCTCTCTCTCTCTCTCTCTCCCACAGGCAGATATTCCAAACCGTTTCGAGATGAAGCTGCACAGGAATAACATCTTTGAGGAGTCGTACAGACGAATCATGTCCCTGAAGAAACCCGACAGTCTGAAGGCCCGCCTGTCGGGGTTGCTTTCGTGATCTTCAGTTTATTATTCTGTGATTTTATTCATCCAGATTTCATGAATGCAACTCTGTTATTTATCTCTCTCTCTCTCTCTCTCTCCCACAGGCAGATATTCCAAACCGTTTCGAGATGAAGCTGCACAGGAATAACATCTTTGAGGAGTCGTACAGACGAATCATGTCCCTGAAGAAACCCGACAGTCTGAAGGCCCGTCTGTGGATCGAGTTTGAATCGGAGAAAGGCCTGGACTATGGGGGCGTGGCCAGAGAATGGTTCTTCCTGCTCTCCAAGGAGATGTTTAACCCTTATTATGGGCTGTTTGAGTACTCGGCCACGTAAGTGTCCAAGTGTTTGTCCACTACAGTTTTGTCGAGTTTGAGCTTCTTTGGCAGATTTGCTCGAACTGACACGTAAATCCTGAACCTCCCACCTCCACTTCTCGCCTCGTATCTGCATCTCCTTTTAGTGCTCATCCCATCCCAGAGATCAGACTAGCTAACTGGCATTTTGCCTGTCTTTAAAGTTCTTAACCCTCTGGGGTCCATGGGTGTTTTGGGGGCCTGAAGAAGTTTTGACATGCCCTGACATTTGTGTTTTTTTCAGTTGCTTATAAACATATGAATGGCTAAAGTCCAAAAGTACAATACATGATTGTGTTTTTGAGAAAGCAACGTTTATGCGTGGTTAGTGAAAAACTAAAATTTTTAAGTCATTGAAATAAGGCCATAAAACATACAGAACATTTGTTCACAAGACTTTTGAGAACTGGATCTTATAGCCTAGAGTTTTTGGTTCAAAATGATGCGAAAATCATCCTGTTTACTCCTTCACAGAAAACAATATATTGATTTTCACTTTTAATGGCGTTTTGTAGTTGTGACATTATTTAGCTGTGAGCAGGCATCTCCATTTTTTTGTGTTTTCTGTTTTTTCCCTTATTTTTTATTTTTGTTTTATAATCGGTTTATTATATATATTTTATCTGTCTGTCTGTATATCAATCTGTCAGATTTTTTCTGTCTTTATTTGTTCATCTGTCTTGTCTTCATGTCTATCTATGTATATATCTGTCTATCTATATATTTACATGTCTGTCTCTCTGTCTATATATCTGCCTGTCTGTATATACATTTATCTGTCTCTGTCAGTATATATCTATGTCTTTCTGTCTGTATTGTTGTTCTGAAAGAAAGCAAGCATTTCTTCTTGTGTTACAGAGCTGGTCTGTTATGTTGTTAGATGTCCTCCACTGACACTCATTAGAGAACGCAGCAGAGCTGGCATCATAATTCATTCATTTAACGTCTCCCTTCTGTCTGTCTGCAGAGATAACTACACCCTTCAGATCAATCCAAACTCTGGCCTCTGTAATGAGGATCACCTCTCATACTTCAAGTTCATCGGTCGGGTGGCTGGCATGGCTGTGTATCACGGAAAGCTGTTAGACGGTACATAAACCTGTTTTTTAAGAGCTGATCTGAAGCATTTTCATGTGACACTTTCTCTATTTTTATAGTTCACTTTTTTTATTATTATCATGTTATTATAATTATTTTTTTGTTTGTTTTGGGATTTGATTTGTAGTTGCTGTTCCCTGTTACTAACAGAAATTTATTCTTCTTGTTTGTTTTTGCAGGTTTCTTCATTCGACCATTCTATAAAATGATGCTGGGCAAACAGATCACACTGAATGATATGGAGTCAGTGGTGCGTTCACACACACACACACACACACACACCAACACGCACACCAATTTTAAGATATAACCCACAGCAGAACAGTGCAGAAACGTCATAAAACAGAATTCTCATTGAAGTATGTTGTTTGAAGGCATTGATCTGAATTTAGTGTGTCTGTGCACATGTATACTTTTCTCATTTTTCTCACTCCTGTTTAATGTTCATGTACACCATGTAGGACAGTGAATACTACAACTCTCTCAAGTGGATTCTGGAAAACGACCCCACAGAACTGGACTTGCGGTTCTGCATTGATGAGGACAACTTTGGACAGGTAACAGCATTATGTGTCTAAATATGTTTTTGTTGAAGTAAGTCATTTTCAATGAAAAAAAATGTTATTGTGGTATTTTTGTTCGTTTTTTTTAAATATATATTTATAGACATATCAGGTGGATTTGAAGCCAAGCGGATCAGACATGGTTGTAACCAATGACAACAAAAAAGAATACATAGAGTGAGTTGCTCTCTTGCTCCATTTGTAAATTCTTGCATATGGCATTTTATACTAACAAAATCTTTTTTTTTGGCTCTGCACAGCCTGGTGATTCAGTGGCGGTTTGTGAACCGGGTTCAGAAACAGATGAACGCCTTTTTGGAGGTACATGATCAAATCCCCCACACAATAAAAAGTTATCTGTAGTTCCATGTATTGCCACTAGGTGGTAGCAGAAGTTTGGATATTCCTTATGGCTGCATGCCATAGACCAGGGGTCACCAAACTTGATCCTGGAGGGCCGGTGTCCTGCAGAGTTTAGCTCCAACTTGCCTCAACACACCTGCCTGCAAGTTTCAAGTATACCTAGTAAGAGCTTGATTAGCTGGTTCAGGTGTGTTTAATTAGGGTTGGACACCGGCCCTCCAGGACCGAGTCTGGTGACCCCTGCCATAGACAGTAAAAAAAAAGATGGACGACACTTCCTTCCACTATAGAAAAGTGAAGCCAAAACATTTTCAGTATGGCCACTGTCATCTTGTGAAAATGACGTAATTTGGAGCCAGAGTCTGCACAGTAGTGTCGTGAGGTGCAGCCGCGGTATCAAAGTCCTGCCCAAACTCCCGCAGACCCAATCGCAAGCTCACAATCATGACACCACATGATGATGTTTTTATAGCATCAAATAACTAGTTAAAAGCAAATTTGTTAAGAAAAACGAACACTTGGACATACATCTGCATGATAAGAACTACCTAAAATGACGGAAACCATCTTTGGAAAAAATTTATTTGAAGTGTAATTTGATTATTTAGTTTGTCTCACATCCCATTAGATTACATGGAGAGGGCGGGGGTTATGACCTATACTGCAGCCAGTCACCTGGGGGTGATCTAGACGCTATGGCTTCACTTTTGAGGACTCATCGTGCACGCTTGTTGCATGCCAATATGCTATAATGACATGCAATGTTTTGATCATGTTTCACATGTCTGTTTCACAGGGCTTCACTGAACTCATTCCCATTGACTTGATAAAGATTTTTGACGAAAACGAACTGGAGGTAACAACTTCCCACATACCCATTACTCGTGCCTGCCGTTGTCATGGAGACTGAATCCTCCATGTCCAAGACTTTCATAGAATTATAAAAAAAAAAGTGCAAAAAAAAGCCTGTATTTTGTTGAATGAATCGACTCCAAATATAGAAGAAAATCAAATCAAATAAAGTACTTTTAAGTTTACGAAAATTGTATTGTAGAAAATTGTATTGCCACAAGCAGTACATAAAACATTTCGGGTACTGTATACTATACACCAGTGGTCACCAACCTTTTTAGGCCCAAGATCCCTGACCTCGGCCTTTATGAAAGACAAGATCTACCTATTGAAGAATTGATAGAAAAAGACATCCCAGATTGTACTTCAAATTTGAGGCCTTTTACTTAGTATTTTAATTAGGGATGCGCCGATCATAGCTGATTCAGAATTCAGATTTTCTTTTCTTTCTTTTTTTTTTAACTAGCAAATTGGATTCTGGGGGTAAAATACACGTTTTTCGGCGGGGATCTTCAAGTAAAATTCACATTCCAGGGACTAAATATCACGTTATTGGGGTCGCTTCAACCCGCGGACATGAACAACAACCCGCGGCAGCAGTGTTAAAGTAGCCCAATGTAATGCATTTTTGTACTTATTTTACTGTTTTTTTTCGGGATCTACTGGGACAGTGATAAAGATCTACCAGTCGATCGCGATCGACGGGTTGGCGACCACTGCTATACACCATATTATACAATAGTATTGTTCAAAAACACACACACACACACAACTGTTAAAAAGTTAAAGGTCAGGATGATTTTTTTAAATTATTTTTTTATGATTATTTTTTATTTTAATTACTTTTATTATGCAAGGACACTCAAAAGTGACAGTAAAGACATTGCCAAAAAAACTTTTAAAAAATGAATCTTTTTTGTCACAAATTTCAAAAATGTAATATTGATAATAATTATTGAGTACCAAATCATCATAGTAGAAGACTGAAAATTCAGCTTTGCCATTACAGAAATAATGTTAAAAAAAATATATATATATATATGTATTTATTAAAAACATTTTTACAATTTTTTTAAAATTGTAATAAAGTTTCACAATATTACGGTCTTTATTTTTTATCCAGCCTTTTAGCACCCTTAGTGAGCATAAGAGATGTCCTTTAAAAACATTTAAAAAAAAATCTTATAAAGGAAAGGGACGTGACATGTGGCCAAGTATGGTGACCCATACTAGGAATTAGTGCTCTGCATTTATCCCATCCAAAGTGCACACACACAGCAGTGAACACACACACACCGTGAACACGCACCCGGAGCAGTGGGCAGCCATTTTTTTTGCTGCGGCGCCCGGGGAGCAGTTTGGGGGTTCGGTGCCTTGCTCAAGGGCACCTCAGTCGTGGTATTGAAGGTGGGAGCGCTCGCTGTACATTCACTCCCCCCACCTACAATCCCTGCCGGTACGAGACTCGAACCCGCAACCTTTGGGTTATGAGTCCGACTCTCTAACCATTAGGCCACGACTTCCCATCGACCCTAAACATTGTTTATTTATATATATATATAATGCTTTCTGAAGTTGAGTAGCTGTGGTGTGATGTTGGTCTGTGTGTGTTAGTGTGTTTATTGTGCTGTATTCTCTGTCTCCAGCTGCTGATGTGTGGTCTGGGAGACGTGGACGTCAATGACTGGAGGCAGCACACCATCTATAAGAACGGCTACTGTCCTAATCACCCTGTGATCCAGTGGTTCTGGAAGGTATGGAGAAGCACATGGCCTGTGTTTTTTGTGTGCAAACATTTTGGACACACTTATTAATTATTATTCCTATTTTTTCACATTTATAGCAGTAGTAAAACCATATGAACTATGAAATATTACAGATGTAGTGACTGAAAACAAAAAAAAATCTAAACAATCTCATGTTTATTTTAACTTCATGGGTGCATCCTGGAATGATCTCCTCAAACTAAGGCATTAAAAAAATAGAATGTTAGTTTTGTAAATAAGTCATGAATGCATATTTTTCTTCAGAATTAATTTCAGGCATTTAAACAAACCTTTAGATCAAAAGATTTTAAAGATCATGAGGAACTAATTTAGTCAAGTGTGTCCAAACTTTTGTATGCATAAGTGTGTCTGACCCCATGCCAAGTGCACTGCGCGGGAAGTTACCGATCAAAGTCTGTTTGATGTGAGGCTCATCGAGTGTTTACTCTGATGAAAGAGTCACGGTACGCATTAGGAACGTCTTATCAGTAGTCTGGAGCCAGACTTGCTCTTTCTACACACACATAGGTAAATACATACAGATTTACTCTCCAGTACATTTATACAGCAAATGTGTCATATTTGAAAAATGGTTTGAAGTCTATGTGAAATTAGGCACAAATTTCTTCAGTTGTGAAGTTAATCTATCGGGTCAGAGCTGTACATCCAAGGATGTTCATAACATCTATAGACCTATTCATATTTATTTAATTTTTGAATAACAGTCCATGAAGAAAGATGATTTTTCCCCCCAGAATGGTGTAGTTATGGCATCTGCTAGCAGGGGTTTACTGGCCAAACTTTGACCCCTGGCTCCAACAGTGCAGGTTTAAGTCCAGCTTGTGGCATTTTCTGATCCTGTTCCCCCATAAAAAATATGATGGACATGCCAAACACCAAAAAAATGTCATACAGAATTAAATCAATTTTAATACATTTAGATATAGAATATGAGTCATTGTTAGCAATCAAGCAACCGTATCTTAATGTGCCAGTTGTAAGTGGAGTAAGTGGAGGTTTTCTACTGATGATTATTTGAATAGAATTCTAAATGTATTTATTTTAAGAGAAAAACTACCTTGGTTCCCTGGCATGGTTGTTTTGAGAACTTATTCTCTGGAAAATGTTTTCCTTACTGTAGTATAAAGAGACGAAAGTTATTGGTATTAACTATGTCTCTCTACATCTCAACTCAGGCTGTCTTGTTAATGGATGCCGAAAAGCGGATTAGACTTTTGCAGTTCGTCACTGGAACATCCAGAGTGCCAATGAACGGCTTTGCTGAACTCTACGGTAAATAATGCAATACTGTGCCTAATATAATAAAAAATTTAAGGGGGTCTGAATACTTTCCGTACCCACTGTATATATATATATATGTGTGTGTGTGTGTGTGTGTTATTTTGTAAACGTATGTTTGTTTGTTTTTTAGAAAATGTCACTGGCGTTGTAGTACAATTGTAGTATCATTTAATGCAGACAGTCTATAAGATGTTTGTAGCAGCTTCATCTGTTTTCAGATCTTAGCATTTCCCTTTGAGACCTATATAATGAATAGACTCCATTCCTGATTGGTCCTTGACGAGTCACGTGATCTGTTGCAGGTTCCAATGGGCCGCAGTTGTTTACTATCGAGCAGTGGGGGACACCTGACAAACTCCCTCGTGCTCACACCTGGTAAGACCTAGTGGGATTTAACTGCTTTATTTACTCAAACACATCTATATATTTTCCGTTCATCTCCCGTAGAAGGCATTATTTTATTTGACTTTATTTTATTTTATTTTTATTCTATTTTTTATTTTTCTATTTATTTAATTTCAATATTTTTTATTAATTTTTTTAATAGTTTTTTTTGTTTTGTTTTGTTTTGGGAAAATACCAAAATATACCAAAAACTATTTGGGGATATTCTGAAAAGATGTCACTCTCTTTTAATTTAAAAACAACTACACTGTGTGCACAATTATTAGGCAAGTGATGATTTTGACCATATCATCATTTTATCCATAATTTCCAAGTCCAAGCTGTATAAACTTGAATGCTTATTGGATTTAATGCATATCAGGTGATGTGTATTTGTGTAACGAGGGTGAAAATAAACAAGTGAGATCTTTGCTTTTCATTTAGTTGCATAATAATTCTGCACACTAATAGTTGCCTAATAACGGTGTACATGTAGATATTCTCTTAAGAACGCCAAAACTTCACTTTTACTACTTAAATGTTCAGGTTTGAGGGTTTGTTAACATTTTGGATTGACCAAGAGCACTGTAGTTGTACAATAACTAAATTAATCCTCAAAAATACAACTTGCCTAATAATTGTGCACACAGTGTAAATGTTTGCATTTAGTTTATCTCAATGATTCCGTTATGTTTTCTTCCCACGCAGCTTTAATCGCCTGGACCTCCCGACGTACGAGTCATTTGAAGACCTGCGAGAGAAGCTTCTGATGGCGGTGGAAAACGCCCAAGGCTTCGAGGGCGTCGACTAAAGAAATCCCTTTATATCCATGCGATCTCCTAACGCAACCGATGAGCAAAGACATGTACAACACACTCGCACACACATCTATACTCACATATACACACTCTTGAGTTGCCATTGTACAGCCAGATCCCAGCAGTCGCAGGTGTGTGATGTCAGCACAGTATATGCATGTAATCTGTCTAGCTGGAACGACATTGGCTGTGAACCCGTTTTGATGCCAAACAGCCCACAAATCCCACAAATCATGCTCTCTAATAACACGTTTTATTTCAAAATCCAGCTCTGAGGCCGTGACGACTTTTATTTTGATAGTAAATAAGAAACTTCAGTATTTGGGTGTGGCCTCAGAGTGGGCGTGGCCTTGATATACCACCGCAACCAATCCCATTAATTCCACAAACATAATATAAGTTCAGTGAAGAGGCAACTCTCTTATCAGGTCTTACTAACACCAGATTACCTTAGGAATCACAGCCAGGATGAAGGACACATCCTCATCCTCCCTTATCCCGCAAAGTACGCCAAGTTTCCCGTTCCTTCGTCGAGGATTATTTTTTTATCTTCTTTTGCAACGCCAAGAAGCAACGGGAATTGTTTTTAATAGTTTATTATTATCGCTGTTATTATCATTCTTACAGAGTAAACGGATTATTTGTACCAACAATGTGGTTTACTATTTTAAACAACATTATCGGAAATGCATTAGTGGCCTGGCTATATTCAATTCAATATCCATATCATTGTGGGTTAAAAAAGAAAAGAAAAAACAAACAAAAAAATGATCAACATGATTATTGTATTGCTATGAAAACTGGCATGAACATGTATCTTGTGTTTCAATATGATTACGTAGTAATTATAAAGCTATTCTTCTTCTTGGTTGAGAGCAAAGATGGAAAACGTCGACATGCATCGGACATGAGTTTGTCGGAGAGGGTTTTCTTCAATTGTAATAAGTATTGTTCTTATCTTTATTATGATTATACCTGTTCATAATACTGTAAATGAGTTTGTTTTGGGGGAAAGACACGATTGGACTTTTATTGTACGTGTTAAATCTGTTTGAAGTATTAAAGAGCGACACAGAGTGAAGCTATCTTAAAAGCGCTGTGATTCAACACTGCAAGTCTCGTAGACTTTCAGGACATAAACTTTTTCTTTCTTTGTTTTTTCTTGTTTCTTCTAACACCACTGTACCTAAAAGGGCACTTTATTGATCACACACTAGGGTCATATCTCCTGTTTTTTTTTTTTTGAACTTGAATGTGATTATCTATTTTGTTCTTTTAAAAGCACTCGGTTCCTTGGTGCAATATCTCTTGTTTATAATCGGCCTGCTGCTAACATATCAGATCACAGCTCGGCCCTACAGCTGATCTGGAGTCAGTCTGGTTCGTCAGTGTGAATCCGGATTGGCTCTGTAGGAACGAGCTCCACCTGGAGTCAGACTTCAGACTGGTTCTTTTTCTATTTTCTTTTCCAGTCTTTTATCTGTACGCCTCCCCACTCACACTTTTCGGGCCGCTGTGGCTCTGTAGGTTTGTGATAATATTATGATTATTGTTATAAATTACCCTTTCACTTTTGTAGGGGCAGTTCTTTTTTTTTTTATTGAAGAGGAACATTTACTGTCTGGTTCCTGCTCACCACAAGACCTTGCGATTCGTATAACTTTGTTTGAAATAAACTGATAAATGGAGTTTAGGTGTGGTGTTGTTTTACTGATTTATTCGAAAAGTGTCAGGAAATCAACTAAAGACTTGAAATGGTATCGGATGGGTTTGGATTGATTGATTTCAAGGTAAACACATTCATGTTATTTCTACTTCTGTAACTGTTGGCTGTCGGGTTTGTAAATACCTGTCTGTTCTAGGTTTCAGTTTAAGCTGAAGGTTGAGAGGTTTGAGGTAAAGTGTGTTTTGTCATTTACTGGATTGTCCGAAGTCGAAGAACAAGCAAACAGGAGGACAGAGTTTTGCTTTATTGTGGGGGGTTTTCTTTTTACAGATGTGCAATTTTACATGTTCTGTTGATTTGACCTGTTTCAACGCTGCAGGTACAGCTAACCGGGTCAAATCTGGCAACCCTCTTTGTAATCTAGTTCAAGGCTGTGTTGACTTCTCTGTTGTGTTGATTTTCTGCTCTCATGCTTAAACATTGCAAGCCTACATCTGTAAAATCTTGAAATAATCATAAATATTTATTTCTTTTATGTTATATTATAAAAATGTTGTTGCTTATATAACATGTATTAGTAGTTTTATATATACATACACTATTTTTCAAAAGTTTGGTAAGATAAAAAAAAAAAAAAGGGTTTGAAAGTCTCTTATGCTTACCAAGGCTGCATTGATTTGATCAAAAATACAGTAAAAACAGTAATACTGTGAAATATTATTACAACTTAAAATAACATTTGTTTTATTTGAATGTATTTTAAAGGATTAGTTCACCCAAAAATGAAAATTAGCTTGTGTTTTTACTCTTCCTCGAGGCATCCTAGGTGTATATGACTTTCTTCTTTCAGACGAATCCAGTCGGAGTTATATAAAAAATTGTCCTGGCTATTCCAAGCTCTATCACTGCAGTCCGCGGCAGTGTTGCCAAGTCCGCTGTTTTCCCGTGGAATTGGGCTACTTTAACACTGATGCCGCAGGTTGTTTTTTTATGTCCGCGGGTTGAAACGACTCCAATAACATGATATTTAAACCCTGGAATGCGAATTTTAGCAGAGGAACCCTGCCAAAAAACATGTATTTTCCCCCCTTGGGAGATTTTTAACTGGGGACCCCCTCGAAATGCGATTGGGCTAGTTTTGAGTAGCGTTTGGGTGGGTTTTCTTGTGAAAACCTGGCAACTAGTCAGCGGATGTTGCAGTTGAACAGTCCACAAGTCGTCAAATAAAGCGCGCGCATCCATATTAAAACGTGCCGCACAGGGCACCAGGGGGTGAATAAAGGCCACCTGAAGCGAATCCATTGCTGCGTCCCAATTCCAAAAGGGTCTGGCTGCAGACTTGCGCTTGCACTCTCAGACACTTGCACTTCCGCTAGCGACGTCACTTGAAGTCTTTTTTTTTATTATTTTGTTCTATTTATTTATTCTTTTTGTTTGAATCTCTCAACATTTTACAACAGTAGCCAGGTGGTGAAGACAAGACAAAAGAAACTAAATTACGAAGTCACTTGCAATCGCCAC